AGAGCCCTTCTAAAGGACTTATACAGACAGTTGTTTTAATATTCCCTTTGTCTTTCCTGTTTTTAAAAATAGTAAATCTCACCTTCTTCCCCCAATTTCTATTCATAGATTGGAAAAGGAATACCAACTTCCCTATTTTATCAGCTCTCTGGAGGCTTTTCAGCTAATCCAAGTGAAGACAGTAGCCCCTGCACCTGCTAGATAACTTGGAACAAGTGTACTAAGGGAAAGCTTTTCTGGATATTGAAACACTAAGGATGTTTATAACTGGAGGGAAGAATCAGCACTTGTGCTACTTTAGACATACAGATACCAAATGAAATGTGCGACAGAGATCAATTTAAGTATAAATGTTTGCTTCCTGTTTGTGTGTGTACTGATAGCTACCACCCTTTATTAAAGTCTGTGGATGGCTCATTGCATTAGTTTCTTTACATCATTTTAGTAGACTGTAGTAAATAAACCCCTTTGGATTGCATGTGGAAACCAGGTTTATTTTTCAGAATATATTTAAAATTAGACCTGTTTTAACTATTGATAAACAACAAAAAACCCACCTTTGTCCTCAGCAGTGAGTGATGACCTGCAAAAAGCAGCACTAGAAGCTGAACACGTGAGGCTCAACAAGCTGTGTGCTTAAGCCCCTCAAAGGATGTGCCCTTTATCAAGGGCACTGTGGGGAGGGGGAGGTTCTGTTTGTTCCTTTGCATTCCTTTCTAGTGCCATGGCCACGTGTCTCTGGTGACACTGACACTGGTTATCCCCAGCGTAGGCAGGCTCAGCTGGCTGGGAACACAGGTGAGCCCTGTGGGATAGGTGAGGGCTGGCCCGAGCTGTGCCACTCTGAGGTGGAGGCAGCAGGGCCCCACATAGCCCAGGTGACACCACCAGACCCTGCAGCTCCCCAGGACAAACTGCAGCTGGATGCTTGCCAAGCTGTCACTGAAACACATGCCTTGGGCAGCTCCAAAGCGTGGCCTTGACTGCCCACTCCCCCCTCACCTCAGGTGTGACAGGAGGGAGCCTTCAGGGTAGAGAGTCTTGTTCCTGGGAGCTGCTGTGCCTGTGCCCAGGCAGGGAAGAGGCTTTGTGTAGACTCATGAGTTTGGTTATGCTTGGAGTTGTCGTGACTGAGTGCAGTGCTTTTGTAAGAGGCAGGTACCAGGGGATTTGTGATGCCATGCAGTGCAGCAGTTGGGATTCTGGATCCAGCCAGGTGGCAGACAGCATTTCTGAAGCATCTGCTCTGATCGTAATCACTTTGTTCATTGTGTATTTCTTGAAAGAACATCTCAGCAAAAACTGGCCATGTGCAGTTGCCATAACTTTGTACTGGCAAGAGTTGCAGGCAGCAGGAACAGAGGAGTATTGTGTCATCTGTGGATCAGGAGGTGCAGCTGTCGGATTGCTGTGCCAGGCTTCAGTGTAAATAAGAACATTCCAATGCTGGGGGCAGTTTCAGCTATGACTGACAGGACTTGTTTCCTTTCTTTTCTTTTCTCCTGGCAGATTCCCCCAGTCATGTTGTGAGCAATCAGAGAAATCAAACCTCACGGCCCATGAAGAGCAGTTCCAGCTCGTTCCCCATCTCTGGAAATGTACCTGCCAAGAAGCTTTCTGGGCAACAAGACAATCCCCTGGCTTTAAAGACAGGTAAAACCCACTCCCAGTGCTTCCTTCTTGGAAATCAAGTGTTCCACAAATGAAGTGTTGCTTGAAAAATGTTAGTTTTCCCCATGTACTGATCTGAAAGATTCAGTGAACTACGGAAGGCAACAGTGATGGAAGTCGAGTGTGAGCCTTGACATCCTAGGGAATAGCTGTCTGGGAAGCAGAGATGCACAGACTGGCTGTGTGGCCTTGTGTTTCCTTATGGCAGGCTCTGTGGTGTGCTTTCAGCCCTCTCACAGCTTAGCAAATACCCCAGATTTACAAGTTGGCTCATTCTGACAGTCAAAGCCAACTCTGCTTCCTTCCATGGCCTTGTCTCAGTCACCTGTTGCTCATCAGCTGTCAGTGTATTGCCCCAGGGCTTGGAGGTGAATCCCTCCTTTACAAGCAGGAAGGTGTCCAGGCTTTCTCACCGGAGAGAAGCTTTCTTCCCAACCAGTTACTGGCTGGTTCCCATGCCAGGTGCTGCCTGTGGTGTCAGGGAGCTTTAGGGACAACTCTGTTTCTGCACTTGCTCTCTTGAAATGAGGATGTAACATCTTTTTGTCTTCCACAGGTGAGCAAGGCACTCAGCCCTCCCTGAATGGAATTCCTGGAAACATGACTACACTGAATAGCAGGAGCTCTCTGACTACCTCTGAAAAGCCAGCAGAGGAGTGGCCAGACTGGAGTGAGCCAGAGGAGACAGACACTGAGAAAACTGTGAACATTCAAATTCAGCCCCGAGAGCTGCAGGGCAGTGTGGAACCTTATTTTGCTGATCATGATGTAGATGAGAAGCCCTGGGATGACTTTGAGCCCAGGAGCCCCAGTCCTAAACTGCCCTCAGGGACCTGCCTCACTGTGACACAAGCTGATGCAGCTGGAAGGCCGAAGCCTCTGCCAGGTACCCATCAACTGAGCAAGGAATTCAAAAGCCTCAGACTGAGTCCCCCCACAAAGTCTTGCCCTGGAAACAGCTGGAGCAATGACAGGTGGGACCACCAGGACCAACTGGAACAAACTGTGCTGCCAAAACCAACCTTTCAGGAAAGGTTAAAGTCTTCATCAGAGAATGGCCTGGGAGAAGAGTTCACGATCAAAGTGAAGAGGAAACCCGTGCCAGACCCTGAGCTGGACTGGTTTGCTGACATGATCCCAGACATTAAACCTTCTTCCGCTGTCCTCATTTTACCCGAGGCCAGGACAGAAGCAGCTGATCCCACTCCCTTGGGGGGCGTGTCCAGCAGAGATGGTGCCTCCCAGAACGTGCTGTTTTCATCCAAATTTGCAGCAGCTGATGGCATTGAGGTAAGAGGCTCCAGGCAGGGGGTGTCAGTGACTGCACCCTCGAGAGGATCCCAGAGCACACACAGCACCAGCCAGCCCCTTAGTGGGGTGGTGGACACCTGAGCAGGGATGAGGGGCACAGGCCCCACAGATGAGTCCTTCCCTGTGAATGCAGGATGCTGAGCTCTGCCTTAGCAAGGAATTCAGTGGGCCATTCATACAGCAGCAAGAGGGCTGTATTGAGTAAGAGTGAGGGCATAGACTCAATTTGTACACTGCTAAAAGTACTGACTAAGGAGTTCTAACTCCAGCTTTTACTCTATGTTACTGGATCCTGGATGCAGGAATCCTACACTTCATTAGGGAGAGTCTGACCAAGGCTGGATCCTGGCTGCTGAGCAGGCACGGTCCCAGCACCAGCAGAAGGGGCTTTCAAGCACAGAGGGTGCTCAGGACTTACTGGTGTTCTTGGTTCTTCTAGGAAAACCTAAAAGCATTGCCAATTAAAAACCAGGAAAGCAGAACCTCTGGATTCCACAGTAAAGTTTTCTAAGTGCTCTATTTTCATGAAAGAATAGCTGAAACATTTCTCTATTTCAGAGAATCAGTGGGGTTATAATTTTTGGTTTTCTTAAGAAAGCAGGTAAATCCCTGTAGCCCCTTCATGGAGACTCCAGAGACTGCTGCTGCTTCCCAGCAGGGGAGGCAACACTCCCAACATTGCCACCTGACTGTGTGCCCTTCCTTAGGGAACAGGTGTTGACTTGAGTTGTTTTGCTCATTGAGCCTCAAGAGAGGTACTCAGGGGTGTAGCAGGGAGCAGGAGAGCAGCCTGGGATGTAAACTGAAGTTGTTTACAACATTTGAAAATGGCACAATGTCCTGTGACAGAAGCACTGTCATGATATCAGCCACATTTTGGGGGGCAGAGAGGAAAGTCACTCACTACTGCAGTCAGTGCTGTGTCAGTGGGGGGGCTGAGATCCAACTTACAGTGTTAGAATACAGCAGGAAAATGGCTGTTTCCTAGGGGGAAAGAAATAATCTAATTTATTGTATTCTTTTTGTTAATGGGAAGTGGTTTTGGAACAAACAGTTCTTGCTTTAATTTTAGGGGAAAAATTTAAGACTCTCCCCCTTAAATGTGTTTTTGTCTTTAAGGAGTTTCCTGATGTAGTTTAAAGATCTTTAAGACCAAAAACTGCACTGGCACTTTATTTTTGACATTTTGGCATTGTGGATGAATCCTAAGCCACACAGGCTCCTGGAGCTGTGCTAAGCACACAAGTACAGTGCATGTGCCTTGATGTGTGATAATTTAATGTGATTCTAGGCTGAAGCTACAGGCTGGGGCGAAGAAGAGGAGTTGAACTGGGAAGATGATACAAACTGGTAACGGGATGGAAGGAGACAAAGGCGATTTGTGGTGTGTTGGACCCTGTGCGAGGAGTCGCTGCTTCCCCAGCCCAATGGATAAGTACCTCAGTGCTGCTTTTGCCAGAAGGCAGGCACTGGCTGCACAGCCAGCGAGATCCAAGGGGACCTGAGCTCCTGCCACGGATGCTCCTTCCCAGTCTGTGCCAAATCCTGCAGGGGTGAGGCCTGCACTCGAGCAATATGCCCAGCTGTGGTGCGTGCTGTGCCGCTGCTCCCGGAGTCAGGAATGGCGGGATGGTGGTGAAGGGTGGGATGGGGCTAACGTGCTACTTGAGGCCAAGAGTGGTGTAAGAGATTGTTCCAGAACTCATCCCTGCCCTGACAAACTGCTGACAATAAATGACAGTCACACTCAGTTCCTTGGTTAATGTGCCTTTTTCCTTTGATTTTTTTTCTCCCCCCCATCCCTACCCCCCGAAAAGCCAAGGCCTTAGAAATGGCTCCTTTTAACTTTTTAGCTAAGAGATGATTTTAAGATGAATGTACAGTTTACTCAACTTATTTATTTCTGTTTATGTAGTTCTGTCAGTGGATGGCACAAGTGGTGCCAGGAACCGTGCAGTGAATGACCATGAACTGCTAAAGCACCATGTTCTTTCTGCTCTTAACTGTGACCAATAAAGATTGTTTTTAAAAGATGACCCTAGCCTGGAGTGGAACCAGCAGCAGAGGTATGTTCAGAGAACAGTATAGAGCCTTAAGCTGTTATTCTTGAGTGTATTTTAAAATTAAGATAAAAACACCTACTGCCTGGTCACCTGTAGGTGACAGGAACAAAGTTACTGTTACTTTTACAACAGATTCCAACCTCTTAGTATTCAGAATACAGTATCATGGAATGTTTATCTCCACATAGTAAAAAACCAAACAATATACAAACAAATATACAAGATCGGCAGTATACAAACTGACAGCTGAGATGCACAGTAGTGTCCATTAAAATACATCAACTCCTTCCAGCCACTTACTGTGAAACACGGGCCGACATCTCACCCCTCAGTCCACTTTGGCACAGGCACAGTGGAGAGAGACAGTGTTTTCTTCTCCAGCACTTGTGGTACAAAGGCGCCTCTTCCCTCCCTGCAGGGAGCTGAGCTGGCCCCGAGGAGCCCTCAGCGTGCGCTGTCCCTGAGGGTGGCTATGGCTGCGTGCAGGGCCTCCAGCCTCCCTGCCAGCCAGGCTGGGGGGGACCCTTTCTGCAGCAGCAGCTTCACAGCCTCCACTGCCCCCTCCATGGAGCCCACTGCTGACTTGTACTGCTCCTCAGAGGGCGGGTGACAGGCTCTTTTGGCCAGGGGCTGCAGATTTCAGTAAACAGGAAACATTATTTTAGTGCTCTGTGTAAGTGCTCAGTCCTCACCCAAGTGCAAGAAAACCCTTAGACAAAACAGAGCTGCAAGATGCCCTTGTCCTGGGGGAGCTCTTGCTGCCTGGCAGGCACTACAGACCACTCAGGTCTTATTAAGGGCCAGGAGTGCTCATGATCTTTTTCTTGGAAGATGGAGGGCAGCAAGGCCATCCTGAGCCTCTTCAGAGACTTCCAGAACTGACAGAAATCGACAGTAGGGGCAAGATAGTTTAAGGAAGCACACGTACCTCTCCTGTTGACTCCAGTTCTCTGTCCCCTCTCAAAACCTGTGCACTCCACGTAATCCTTTCTTGCTTTGTGCGTTCTGCTCGTGCTTCTCTGGTCTCTTCTACCTGCCTTGTCTTGGGAGAAAACCACAGGAGAGGTAACTAAACCAAGGCAGCATTACCAACCTTCATAGGCTCAATTTATATGCCAGAACAAAAGGCAGGGAAGGAGACATTTTAACATGCAGCAGCTCAAAGAGAGTATTTCTCATGCACTTTTCTGATCAGGAGATTTAAGTTACCTACAATTCTGGTTTAGCATTACTGGCAGTTATCAGTTCTTTTGCAAATTATCTGCTTGTCAAAAGCTGCTCATCAGAGAGCCCTGCCTTAGGTTACAGCACAACAGCCACCCCCTTCCACGGTATCTGTGTTCTGCAGCACAAACCACCTACTCTGGAGAGGATTTCTTCTAATATGCAAAAAGGACTAAGGTGCTTCATTTGTGTTCATTTAGATTTCAGAAACTCATCCAAGAGAAATGGGGAAGGAAATCCTACCAACCAAATGATGCAATTTATTAAGTTTTTTGTTTAAGGAGGAAAAAGCAAAGCATTTAAATCAAAGTTGGGAAGTACTGAAAGAGCACTGTGCATAGGAAAGGCAGTTGTTAATTCTGCTAATTAAAGCAAATAGAAAAGTTCAACCAGTTCCCAGTGACAAAACCTTATTTTAAACTTACTTTTAATCACCATGCAGATGATGCAGGTATAGACATAGGCTGTTTACTGCTTATAATGGGTGTACAATATCAACTGAGAAAGCAGTGAAGTGGTTCAGCAATGAAGTGGTTCAGCAACTTACATACCTTAGCCAGAAAATTAACAACTTTGTTCTTAGCTTCTTCAGAGTTAAGGCACAGAGGAACAATATCTTCATGGCTTGTTTCCTGCCAGAAATGTTAGTAGTTGATCAGTACATTGATGTTAACAAGGGAATAGACAAAGTAAAAAATCTTTCTGTGACAGTCCCTGCCCTCTTACAACCAACCTAAGCAACCAGTGCTTCATCTTCCTTCACTTCAGCTCCTGAAATCCTTCCAACTGCATTGGCTCTCATTACTTTTGATGTGCAATAGCACCTATAACACTAAGACCCAAACTGCACAGTGAAGAGCAGCAAATATTTAAGACAGGAGAATTTTTGTAGAGTAGAAGTTAACAGAGCCAGACACCCAGAGCTGTGCTCTGCTCACCTCTGCAAAACGTGTGAACGCCTCCAATACGTGCTGGTGAATCAGCCAGGTCTGGTCAGCCAGCAGAGAAGCGAAGAGACACGACAGCTGGGGCACAACCTGCCTCTGCAGGAGGAACAAACACCCCTCAGTTCCAAAGAGTTAGTTGTGCACATCTTACCATTGGGATTTATTACTGAAGAATTGCTCTAAGGTCAAGGGACGGGTTTGGGAAATGCAAGAGTGCTACTGCCCTGTCTGGCAAAAAAACCCCACTGTCAGTGAGGTGACATGTTGGTTCTTCCTAGAGGTTTAAATGTCAGTCTGGTGAGAAGCAAAAAGAGTGAATAAATCAAGCATCTTACATGCACTCAGCATGTCTTCATGAAAAATAAACCTGACATAAACCATTAATAAGTCTCCAAGATGATCATGTGCTGGCACTCCTATATGGGTTTGATGAAGTGTATATTTAAATAAAAGGTGTATCTTTTCATCAAAAGACTGAAGATGATTTCACTAACACCACAGTTACACTTACCTGTGCTTCTTGTGGTATAAACACCTTTCCCATGGAAGACAGAAAATCCACCATCGCTAGACGAACATGATCTGGGGGATCCAGCTGGAAAACGGAAGACTGCAGTGCAAATACCTGTGGAAAACAAACCCCAGTGAAGCTCCATCAACAGACTGGGTTAAAATGGTGCTGCCTCATCTTTACATCCACAGGCACTGAGAAAACTGGACTCAAGCCAAAAGGAGGTGTGCTGCACCTCAAATAAAACTGGGTAGGATAAAGGCGCAGTTTAGAAAGGAATGAGCAGGCTCCACACAGCATATCCACATATCTCAATATCTTACAGAGTAACCCAAGATTTTCAAAAGCAGTGGGAACCAAAATGCCATATGCTTGCTTTAAAACCCAGGGAAGTAATCAAGCAAGAGGTAAAACTAGAAACTTTCATGTGTTAAAAGGCGGCCAGACCATGAAATAACTCATTTCAGATTTCAGCAAATCACAGAGAACTTGGTTTTCATGAAGTAAATTACTCGTAAGAAGGTGTTTACAGGTTTGTGGGTATTTTTTTTACCTGAGTAATCAGTTGAGCATCTAATGCTTGGATGAAAAATTCCAAAAGGTGAAGTAATAGACACAGTGTCTGCTGGAGACATGGCTCATCTGAGACCTTCAGGAGATCACAACATTGCATTTTAACTTACAGAATAACTACTTAAGAAAGAATTTCAAGTTACAGTATTGTTCCAAAACTCTGAGTCTGACCTCACACACCTGAAATACTACATTGTAAGCAGAAGAACACAGTACAATAGTCATTCAATACTTCTAGGTAGTCATATTTTACAAGACCCTTTTCTTTGATTTTTATTAACAATATTTCTTAGCCCTCATCTCCTTCTATCGCTCACTAAAATAAGCAGCTGAAGGTTATCTGAACTATTTCTTTTCACTTCTCAGTTGCCAACTGTCCTCACAGAATGGCTGAGGTTGGAAGAGACCTCTGAAGGGGCACATTGTTGGCTCCTCTTCACCCTCACTCTCAAACTTCCTTTTTTTAATCAGAAGCATGAACCATGGCAATCCTTTTTTCTTTTCTTTATGCAGCTGCAGCCACGAACAGGTAACACGGTTGCAAGGGCATTGCCTGACCCCCTCAGATCTGGGAGGAGGGTGTGGGTTTCCTTGTGCCAGGCTGTGCAGTAATCAAACCACTGTAAGTTTTGTTCACATTCCAATGATCACTTAAAACAGACCAAATTTGTCACTGGTGCGAATCAGAATGAGGAATTTCAGATTTCTCCTTGAGCGAGTCTGAATCTGACACTGAGTAACAGATGGAGTCACAAGGAGCCACATATGTAACATTCAGCAAAAGTCAAACTGGGCTTCCCAGAGCACAGGCTGGCCCAAAACATAAACCAGCTGAGAGCAGATGGGCAGCACAGTTACACAGTTACTGTTTACAGAAACAGTCCAAGGAAAACAAATTAGTCACAACAATGTGATGAAATAGCACTGGCCTCTCAAAGACATCATGTTTTCACCACTGGAGCAGCAAATTCTCTTACCTGCTTAGCCTGGAGAAAAGTCCAGAACTGACTGAGCACTCCCAAGACAGATGTTTTAAGTTCTGCCTCCAGAGTGTCATCAGCAAAACTGCAGGCAGCCAACAGGACAGAAAGGGCAGTGTTCTAGGAGGAAAAAATGTATAAGGCAGACCAGAAAAAACCTACACATAGAACAGCCAAAACCCCAGACTCCTGTTAAACATCTAAAATGATACAAGATGGCAAGAAGCCCAGTGTGCTGTGTCAGTTGCACAGCACAGCTAATCCACCAGCCAATCAAGCTTCCAAAGCAGGGAAACCATCCATCACTCCTGCAAGTCTCACAGGTGCTCCAGTCATTTGCTGCACTGGCAGGAGGAGTCTGGCAGCAGACACTTCATGGGGAAGCCTCTGCTTTCTCACACTCCTTCACCAGGGAGACCAGTGAGCATCTTTCAGATTTGATGCTCCATAAAACCAGCCAGGACTTTCAAACTTCAAAAGTAACTGTATCCCAAGGTATAGCATAAATCAGAAACTCTAAACAAAAATACATGTGCACACCCAGAGAGCAAACAACTAGAATAACCTGGGAACCACAAGAGCTCCACTGTCACAGTAGAGGCTCCTAAAGTGCTGCGTGCTAGAAGAAAACCTTAACATGAAGAGTTCTTGCTCGTGCCAATGCCAGTTAGGCATGGAGAAAACACACTGAAAAACTGAGGTGACAGCAACAGAACCCTTATAGCTTGGCAATCCAGAGCTCCCACATTCTTACAAAGAGAACCAAATCCCCTTTACCACAGGTCGGAGCTCTCCCAGGGCGCGCCTGCTGTGGAGCCATTGCCGGCACTGCGCGAGCCCGGCCACGCACAGCTGAGCTGCCACTTGCTTCCTGAGGTCGGGGTTCAGGGCCCTGAGCGATGTGTGCTGCCACACAGCCAGGTTCTCCACCTCCTCTGGAAGAAACTTGTGAGCGAATTCTACCTGGAAACAAAAGGTAACAGAAACTTAGTAGGCCAGAAGACAACTTGATAATCTCTCAGAAAGCTGAGAAACCACTGCTGGTTTGCTTTAGATATATTACATGAAAGAGTGTAAAACATTTCAGCTAAATAAAATTAATCTTTTTATATAAAAACGTTGTAGAACTGCCACCTCCCTTGGCACGTATAGGACATCAGAATGATTAAGTGACTTAATTCTTTCAGCTGCTTGAAGCAGTGGCCCCAGTGAGAAGAATAAAGGGCTTTGGCCTCTCACAGACAGGACAGGACACTGCTCTTGACACCTGATGTCACGAGAACACTCGTGAACACCAGTCACAGATGCAATGACAGGACACACAGTTTTCAGCAAATCTGGGAGATGTGCTGTTTTCATCCTCAGTCAGGAAAAGGACTCCACTGCTGCCCAGTCAAACACATGGAAAGGTGTGCAGTCTGCACAAAGTGGGATCCACTATGACTCAGTAATGACAACCACAATAACAAGGACAATGAGCGAGCACTGATCTTGGCACTTCTGAAGAACTGAAAGAGGATATTTTAACACGGGTCACTGGTTCAAATCTCTCCCAGTAAAGGCAGAAGATGCTGGTGCTGTACTTGCCTGATGATCTGGAGCCATCATGAACAGCAGACGCCTCAGCAGGACACCCAGGGCAGAGACCTGGTAACAGTCACTGGGCCAAGCCTTCAGCTGCATTAGCATAAAAGGGTAATGCATCCAATTAAACTAAGGAAAAAAATCACCACTAAGCAAATGAATTCTATACAGAACGTTCTGCGAGTTGCTGTGTGGGATCATGTTGGAAATATCAGGTATTTTGTTTTATATTTTTACTGTATTGCTTTTGCTAATTATTAATCCAATTTGAAGAACTGAAACAATCTCAATGTGGATTTAAAAAGAAAATAAATTCCTGTCTTTGGTCATTATTATAAAGTTTGCCAGTATAACTTGGATTAAAACTGGTGCCAAGCTGCAAACACACAGTGGTTCTTACCAAGTGGGCAATCACATGAACATGGTGAGCACACAGTTCAGCTGTTCCATACCTGGAACATGAGAGACAGAAGTTGGTGATCCTGTATTTCCTAGGCTTTTACAGTATATATTCTGTAAACCTTGTCTGAGAAATGGCCATTTCCTCTAACATATTTCAGCTTGATTAGCAGACCCAATTTACTTGAGATAACCATTCCAAAAAACAATTACTAAATAATAAAGTATATTCCCCTTACTTGCATGAATGAAAAAATGACTAAGCCACTTCTGCTTCTAATTTTCAAAATGTGCTCTAAATCTGAAAAGAATCCCATTCTGGGAAAATTTTGTCTTTAAAAAAAAAAAATCTCTCAAGGAATTATGTACAACAACAGAATGAACTGGATCTCTGGAAAACCTGCAATCTTACCGGGCAAGGAAGCACCACGAGTCCATTGCCAGCAGAGATGTGATCATGCTGGAGCCCAGCACTGCGTCCAGCAGGGCATATTCCTGAGCAGAAAACAGACATATGTATGCTATGCAGAAACTGACTGCAGGCCTGCTACTACTGTTACTTCACTAATTAGTACAAAGCCTAGGAAGAGTTTCAAGCTTATCCAATTTAAAATGTTTGAAGAAGTTGTTTTTGTACTCCACATTCAGCTACACCATCAAATGAGCAGCTACACCTTTAGATTTGCACACTTTGAATGCCCATGTGCATTCACCTCAATGGCCTGAGGATCCTTCACTTGGAGACATTTCATCATGTCATCCCTTCTTGGCAAGGCAACTCTTACCAAAAAAATATTTAATTCTAACCAATGTATTGTCTATTTTCTTTCCAGCTTTATTGGCAACCTACTGAAAACCAAATAAATAATTTTCCTCTTTTACAAACACAAATTTTACCTCAAAGAGGAACACAGCATTCAGAAAAAAACAACAAACAAACCCCTAAATTAGGGATGTAATTTTTTGTGACAGCTCCTAACTTTATCAAGGTTTACACTCATCTGGAGGTACTTCTGTCTATGTGCAGTAAAAGTGAAAAACTTCGGAAACATTATGTAACGTTAATCAAAGCTCAGAATACTCCTCTGAAGTAGAAAATGTTGCTTGTTACCATTTTATGGTATGTTTTTAGCTGGAATACCAACAATATAATCTACTCTAAACTTAGTATAGATTAATAAAAACAGGTGAAGTTAATACAATTTGAATACTGCATAAAAGAAAGCAAAAACCAATCTTACCAGCTGAGGGAAGTGTGATGGGAGTGTGGAAGCAATGAAGGAGCACAGGTGGACACAGACATAGTGATAGAGGGTGATGGGAACTGCTGGCTGGCCAGTACTGATCACCTCTGGCAAACAGACAGGGAGAGAAAGCTCACCAGGACATTGCTGGAAACTGAAGAAGAGAGCCGAAAACAAAGACAGGCTGCAAGGGGAAAATAAAAAATAAAAGATAAATAGTTGGGTTACAGTAAATCCGAAGTCCCGCAAGAAACATCTGTACTATAAAATCTTTGTACTACAAAAATCTTTGACAAGGAACAATGGCAGTAACTTCAGTGGTTTTACACTAAATTTACATTTCTGACTGCCTTCCTCTTTTACAAATCCAGGTGGTTATTTGAGGGTTCAGGCATAAAAGTTTGAGATTTTAACTCAAAGAAGCATCAACAAATTGAAAACTTCTCTCTCTTCTTGTCCTGGAAGTACTGTAAATACCATTCCTTTCCTGAAAAAAACAGTGACATCTCTGGCTCTGTATCCTTCCCTCCTGAGGCACTGAACATCAGATCCTGTTTGTCTTGGCAGAAGGATGTAAATCCATAGAGTCTGACAAATTTTACTACTCAGTTGCACGGGGAACTCCAGCAGCTGAGCCCCTCTGTTTGCCTGCATGGAACGATTGCTGTGGGGAAGAACTGCAACAAAAACCTCTTTAGTACCTTTTTCCTGTGTTCCAGAGAGTTTGCACTTCTTCAGGCTGAGAGGACAGCTTGTCCATGATGGTAACCAGGAGGAGGAGCTGGGGCAGCTGCTGCTCAGGAGGGAGACCTGCAGAAGTTTGGTTTTAAACTGTGGTGCAGGTTGCCCTGGTAAATACATCACATGTGTAAACTGGCTTTTAAAGCAAGTGTAGAGGCAAATTGATGAACTCTCTTGGCTATCCCAGAATTATGACTTCTTGGTCTGGGCAGAAATCAGGGAGCAGGGAGTGTAGGAACAAAAAGGTAGTAATTATTCAGTTTGAAGGCATTCTGCTTTTCACAGAAAATACTTATTTAGGAAAAAAGGGCTGTCTTCCCCCACCAACAGAACAGCAGAAAAATTTCAGCTTACTCTGAAAGTTTGTGACAAAAGTGGATTGAAATTATGCAAAAGAGTAGAATTGACAGGATTTCTGTTAACCAGATTAATACTGAAGTTACTGGGAATCTTTTGGAAAAGATGAATTCAGCAACAACATGAACTATCTGCTATAAAATTCATCCAAGTCAGCATGGAACTGCCTACATCACAGTGCTTACACAAGAACTACAGACAAGCAAACAGGTACAGAATATTGTCATAACATCAGTCCCAATCCCTTGCAGATGTTTACACAGTACCACAGCACTGGTAGCTGTATCTTCAACCCACCTAACTTCTCACTTAACACTTGCTCCATGAAAGGACTAAAGGGAAGAAGCTGGTTGATGAGAGGATCCAGAGCCACGAGAAAAACCCGGGATATTTCCTCTTGATGAACTTCCAAGATCTCTGGAGCATAGAGACTGGGAGGAAATTTGCTGAGGGGGAATGGAAAAAAAAAAGTTAAATATTCTCAGTAGCATTTTCAGCAATATTACTTTTTTCCAAAAGAACTACAAAGAAGTTTCTTATTTCCTTGTTCCAGTGAAATAAAAGGCTCCCTATTTTAGAATATCTGTTGTTTTCCAAGAGCTACAACTCTGCATTCAGCTTTTAAATTTGGCATCACAATCTAATATTTTACTAAACACTGAAAGAAAACCTTACACACAGAAAACGCATGTAAAATACATAACAGCTATCAGAAGAAACGTCAAATCACAATGGTCAAGTAAAAAAGAAAAGCCAACAAAATATCTGTATACACAATTTGACGGTCATACATGTGACAGCACTGATTTAACACGTGACACTAAAAGGGTACCAGTTTCTTTGGAGAGAAAACCTTGGGCAATAAAAGAAAAAAAGAACCAAGAGGAGAATAACTCAAAAGAGATTGTGAAATGAAAACCTTCCACTCTTGCAGCTGATAAAGTGACTGTAAAAATGCTACCTTGCTACTCGAAAATCCTGTCTGGTTTCCCTGAGTGAATAAAAGTTTACAACCTTGCACTTGAGAAAGATCTACAAGATAAGTAAAGTTGAAAGAGGAGACTCATAAAAACATATCCCCCCACCCAGTCTTGCAGTGAAACATGCAGTGAACTCAGGTGCACATCTCACCACAGAACGTGGTCTGAATTCCAAATGAATGCCTGGAATCAGGCCTCAGATTTCAGAGGGCAAACTATGATCAGTAGAAAGCCCATGTTCCCCTATTCCCGACCACCACTGCAGCAAATAGAACAAAACCTGTGAAAGAAGAGTGATAAATGGCTTGCAGACCATTGCTTTATGAACAAAACATTAAAAGAGCATTTGCTTCCAGGAGAACCAGAGTCCCTCTTGTGAGATTTCACAGGATTATTAACACACAGTAAAGCTAACGAAAAATGTCAGGATACTTTGTTTCTGATCCCCTCTTTCTCCAGGATGAATGTTTCCATACTTTCTCTTAAAGTAGAAACAATCTGTCACATGTCACTACTGACACCTGTATTTAGTGTTGGATTTTTTCTTTCTGCATGTTCTGCACATACTTTGTTAAGAAATGCTGACAGAAGTAGTTTCACCAAAGTGAACGGTTTGTCAATATGGGACATGCACAGCACTGATCAAGAATGGGGTTAGGGTAACTCTATCCCACAAAAATGCCCAATTTATGAAAAAATATTTTCGTTTTCTATCCATGAAAAAAAAAGATGACAACAGCTTTGGAACAAGAACTGTATTTCTATATCTCAAAATACTTGTAACTTTAAAAATGCAGTAAAGAGATGTCATTAAGATACTATCAATGATGAATTATTTGTACTTCACATACCTGTATATCTGAAGAAAGAGCTGATGTAACTGAGAACAGGAGTCAGAGAAGTAAGCAAGAAATTCCTGCAAAAGCCATTAATTTTAAATGGTGCTTTCAATATAAAATACACCGTTAATTACACTAAAGTACTAAACTGCAAAAATGGTTTAAATTCTAACAATCCACAGCACAAAGCAAGAGCAAACAATAAACAACAGTATCCATTTCTTCTTCTTAATGCCACATCCAATTCAATTGTTCAAACAACCAACAATTCTGGAAACTTGGCCACTCTGGCCATAAAATGGACATCTCCTACCAGCTCCATGGTGATATTGCATGAAACAGTTTATTATACTTGTTTTTCTGGGAAATTCCTGCTTAGGCTTGTGAGTGTATAAAGGTGAAAGAACTACAAGCAGGTTACTGGATGTTAATTATGGATGTTAATTATACTGCCCATATGGGATAGTCATAAATTGTTAAGATATTATGCAGTACAAAATTATTCCATCTGCAAACCAGAGGCTTGAATTTAATACTAACACAGACTTCAAGAACAGAACCTACCTTGGTGTAGTGTACAAGGGAATTAGCAAAGAACCTGCACAGTTTGACTGTCTTCTGAAACAGCCTTAAATCAGTGCCCTCCTGTGCAAAAGAAGCAGTTCTAAAAGTTAATATACAGAGTAATACAATTAAAAAGAAAGTTAAGATTGCTAACAATGTTCAAAACCTATTTCACATTTGATTCTCTACAGACTCTGCAGCTGTAGGGGGAAAACCTTTAAAAATATTCATTATGCCTCAACACTTTTAGAGCAATATTCAGAATTAGAAGGTTATCTTTTGATTGACCTTGGGACATTGTCAGTTCAGGAAATAAATTCTCACAGAGTATGGTGAAAACTTAATTGTCTCACAAAACATCCTCAATCTAAATAAAGTGATGGGCCTCACTTTCATGTGGTTTCAAAAGAATAAGGTATTCTGCCTGCCACATGAAATAAAGAAAATCCAAAAAACCAAACCCAAACTACTCCAAGCACTAATACAGCACAAAGAATTTCTCCTCCTCAAGGTCACTGTTAGCTTTGGGAGCTTTTGAGCTCACCTGTATCTCTGACACCTTCATTTGCTCAGCCAGTTGCAAACAGGAGTCAAAAGACACAAGAGTGTCCTTGCAGAGGCCACCCAGGATGTCACTGTGCTTCAGATGGCACTGCAGCAGGGAGTGATGCTTCAGGCTTTGCCTGCAAGGTGGGAATATTTAATGGTCAGAAGTGATCATGCAATGAGTTCTTACAAATCCAAATAACTTCTTTAGGCTTTTGTACAGCACTGATTGGTGCAATATCTGTGCACACCGAAAACAGAAGCTCAGAGAAAACCTTCTCCACAGCCAGGGATCAGAGCAGAGGCAGGATGAAAGCACAAGACAGTCAATCAAGCCAAAAATGTCTACAAAATTGCAGGTGAGACCTCTTAATATTATTTATTCAGCCAACAGTGCTACAAATGTTCTTCTTTGTTGCAATACGAAAAGTCAAGTTCCTATTACTTTTCACACCCATTCCTACCTACTTTCACTGGCAGTGCTTTAATACCACTCCTAGCTAAATTTCTAAATTGAACTTCTAAATTTACTTCCCAAACAGCTGAAGTGAATTCTCTAATTTCAATTTTATTTGAAACTCTGAACACAAAGCAATTAAAACCTTCATTATTCAAAATTACAGTTCAGTGACATACTTGATGATGAACTTCCACGTATTGGCATGAAGAGCATGGTCCATATTGGAAATGACAGAGCAGATCTCCAGCACAGTGTGGATCACTAAGGAAATAATAACAACTAGAGTTAAATCAGATTTTTGAGTTCACAGCAATCCCAAGCACTAAGAGAATACCAGCACACTGACACTGAATTGAGAAAATAGCTCAGTGTTTAGGTGCTGCCCCTTCCCTACAAACCTACACAACATGCCCCATCCCACAGAGGAAGTCTCAGGAGAACAACAGAAATACTTCGAGCTTCAAAATTCTGCTTTTTGAAAGGCTGGTCAGGACAGCAGGAACTCAGCACTCTCACAAACCTGTTTTAAGAATTCAAATACACTCTATAGAAAAAAAATGACTAAGCAAGACTGAAAAAGTGTTAAATCCACATATACTTGACACCATGTCCGTGATGTTATCTTCAGTGGATGCAGAGCCCAAGGTAGTCATATCAACGAGTTCCATCAGCTGCTTCTGAAGGGAGTAAGTTTCCTTGAACACAGCTTGTAGGAGGTCAGAAATCAAGTGTAGGTGCCCACAGTACACTGATTCACTGTCCTGCAGAAAATGGGAAACGAGGTTTAAAAAGAAGTTCAGGAATCACAGCCTGATTTTTCACATGCTAAAAACACCAAGAGCTTTGTCACACATTTCCCTGGAAAAAAAAGAACAAGGCACAGATGTACTTACTTTAACTCAATATACAACCAGAGCTGCAGTTTCTGCTCCCACCCCCTGACCAGCCTCATTGACAACTAATGGGGTCTGCCTGGCTCTAGTGAATTTTGAGGGTTCTGGATTAGGCCTCCCCAGGTAAACTTAAGATCATAGGATAAACTTCCATGGATGAATCTAAGATCATATTTTACAACACAGTACAATGTTAGCAACAAAGGAAGTAGCATTCCAAATACTTCCCAATACTTTCAAATCAAAATTGTTAGATAAAGGTGTGGCACCTGAGTTTACATCCTGACATGGAAAACTGATGTAAAAATAGACAGACAGACTGAAAGTGAAAATGAAAGGCAACCAAAATCTCCCGTGTCCTTATGATAACTTGGTTTTCACAGCTTAGAGGGGAATTCCTGTTGCATCTGAAAATCCAAATCTGAAACTGAGAGATGTTCCTTGTAGCCAGCATAAAGATGCCAATCTCATTTTTCAATCCCCTTTGGAACTTGCATAGAAATAAGGCAAGTCACAACATGTTGGTAACCACTGATAGCTCTGAAAATCTTGCAGCTGTTAGGAGTGCACAGATCTCACAGAGTACTCCATGAGCAAAATGTTCAGTGAACATTGGTGCAAAATATGGAAATAGCACAGTCTGAGCCTCCCACCACCAGGTGATATTTGCTGGGTACACAGCTGAAAAACCACCTCTGTACTCGTACAACAAGTAAACTGTTTAACAGCTAAATCTGAATTAAAAGGATTCAACAATAATATTATTTCAAAATAGGATCTCCTTACAAAGTGGGTGTTTCCTAAACCCCAAGGAGCACAAGGATGTTTCTCCTCCCACCAGAGACCTACCCTGCAGTGTGTAAAGGTGTTCTTTATGACACAGAGCACGGAGGCCGGCAGGGAGCGGATGCTCTCCAGAGGCACACACTCCTGCCCGGAGCACACGCAGCGCACACAGCCCGTCAGGGTTTCCAGCAGTTGCACCACAGTCTTCAGGCAAGAATAAACAACAGCAATCAATGGTTTTCACTCCTGCAATAACCTCCAAAGTGTCTTTTTTCCCTGCTGAATTGCACTTAGATTTTAAGTTCACTATTGGCATAAATAAGTAGTTTGTTAGAAATGAGTGAAGCTCCATAAAATAATACCGAGTTATTCCATATGTACTGAGAAAACTCTGTATTTCTTTGACAACTGTTCTTCATTTCCAAAAACTTTAAAACTCAGAATTAAGTGACTGTATAAACAAGTGCCACTCACTCTTTAAATACAGCGAATCACATGCCACTTGTGTTAGTAACTTCAGCAGAATTAGAGATGATTTTTTAAAATTATGATTAGCATCACACGATAGATGCAATCAAATCGTTCACTTCAGCTACAAAGGAAGATTAAATTACATTTTAACCACCAGGAGCCAGCAAAAGTATTCTGAAAACCTCTCAATAGTTTAGGTAAAGGCAAAGAATGATGTAAACATTCCTGTGATAGGACTTGCCTGCAGCAGATTCCTTACAGTACTGCATAACTCTGTGCTGTGGCTGGTTAATCCCTTGGCTTCGCTGGATAACTCGTACATCAAGTTATCAAAGAACTGTAAAGTCTGTCAAAAGGAAACAAAAACATTTTATAAAGGCACACATGCAAATAGCAACACTGTTCTGTATCTGCTGGTTTCCTTGGTATGGAAGCACAGGCCACAGAGAGAAGTCCCAGGAGAAATTAAGGCTCTCTGGCATTTCAGCCACAAAACACGATGTACCAAAAAGCACAACTTGTATGGTTTTCCTTAATTATAGACATAAGCTACAGTAGCTGGTACTTTTTCTAAAGTATGTTAGGAAATAAACTTCCCAGCTAATATATACCTCTTTCTACCAAATATTGTTTTAACTTAGTCAAAACCCCGTAATTAAAAAAAACAAAACTGTTTTGTCTCAGAAAAATTGTTTATGTGTTGAGAACAATCATTAACGTTTTGAATACGTTAAAAAAAGGTCTGTGATCTACAAACAACATTAATTTGTGCTTTAGTTTCAGTCCTTGGACATTTGTTGAGTGTTACTGTTTTGACTGCAAAGACAGTGAGGTGCTTCCAGGCACATACAGGATAAACAGGTACAGTAAACCTTGTTCAGGATATGCCTATTATGACACATTTTTCTTGTAATCTCCAAAATTTGTTACTTGACATGAAGCAAGAGAAATGGAAATCAAGTGGCCATTTTTACCGGCTTCTTAAAGTGGACAAGCTGAGGCCTAAAACTTAAATCAGTAATTTGGCACTGCTTTACATCACTTGAAATGCAAGCAATCAAGAATTTTAATAAAAATACAGCAAAAAAAAAAATCTCCATTGTTTCATCAAAAAAGAGAACATATGTTAGGCCAGTAAGATCTAAGAGTTTATTCACTACATTAATTCACAAGTCTCACTACATTTATTCAGGATATACAAGTGTTGGGTTCTTCAGTTTACTTGTCCTGAGAAGCTACCTCGTGTAAAAATTCTCCACCTTGGACATTTTATAAAAAGGCCAATCTTCTCAAAAAGAAATAAACTCTAAATCTCTTGCTAAATAAAGAAAGAATATTGTATATTTAATTCTCTCCCTGCTGTAAAGGATGAGAACAATCACAGAAACAATCCAACACAAAACCATGAAAACTCTTAAAGGTAAAATTTTAATTTTGAATTTTGTATCCTATACAATAATTATATTGTGCAACCTCAAAAAAGAATCACTGCATTCTAAGCAGTTTTTAGCACTGGACCAACTGACAATTCCACAGTTAATTGAAGCCGTCCTACCTTAGGCAATACTTTTGAGAAAAAAGTTTGTTCCAAATCTTCAAGGCTGATATGGGGCAAAAACATTTCAGTCAGGATCCTCAAAACCCCTGCAAAGAAAAGCATTTAAACATTACAGGAAAAACAATGTGTGACTATGAGAACTACGTAGCAACCTACCAGAGGAAACACAGAACTGCATCAAGCAAAAACAGATCAGGTACTTGATTTTGAGAGAGGTTTGCCTTATTTGAAATGCATGAAAATACACATGCATCATCTGAAAAATCAAGTAACAGTAACAGCCCCAACATGCACAAAACCATCAAAAAGAGCATCACATCTGACTCAACTTAGTTGAAGGCTGAGCACAACTGTTTGCCTATGGATCTAGCATTTTCCACCTTCCAAACTGCAAATACCTGCACATTTAATGTGCTGGTCGGCACTAATATGCAAAGTAACTGTGAATTTTAGCAAGACTTCTAAACAGTTACAAATAAGCCTCGTTTTCTTTTCACTATTAGCTATTACAAGAGCCTTGTCACCTGTAAGATACTAACCAAAAAGACAATAAAATGCAAGATAAAATGCACCCTTCTTTCATTTATTTAAAAATCAGAAGTAACAGGAAGGAAAGAGCAGCCTTACAGGCAGAGCTTCTTTATGGGCTTTAATAAAGTTTATTCAACATGCAGTTTGTGGAACATGCAAGGTCCAGCGGGATTGCTGAAGACTCTGAAAGGCACTAGTTGTAGTTTAAAGCGTTTTTAAGTAGTGCAGAGCTTATAAGGCAATTGCAATACAACGATCTGTAGGAAGAGGCACTTCTTAGCCACTACTTACGAATATGCTCAGTCCAGTCTTCACACTCTTGATACACTGAGTAAAAACGTTAAAGAAAATCAAACTTGTTCTGCTATAAAGGTTATCTTTAAAGCACTTGCAGAAGTCACAGTGACTTCTCACCCTGTCTCATGTTCATATGGAGGGGATGCAGTTGATTCCGCATACAAAAAAAATGTTTCTGAAATGTATTCCAGAGTGGCTCTTGAGTTTTTTTGGTTGGTTGGTTGTTTTTGGTGGTTTGTTTGTTTGTTTTGGGGGGGGGGGGTTTAGTGATGTGGGGTTTTGTGGGGGTTTTTTTTTGGGGGGGGGTGAAGGGAATTGTTAATTAATTGTTAATAGCGCTAGATAAACCCCACGCTATTTCCTACAACCAATCTTTTATTTCAGGGAAGGGCTGTTGGCAGCGAAAGCCCCGGCACTCAGCTTTTCTCTCCCGTGCCAGCCCCTCACAAGGTCCCACCGCCTTCCCCCCCTCAGGTTTACTCGCCCGGACCGCGGGAGGCTGAAGGCTGAGAACCCCAGCGGGAAGGATATGAGGAGCCGGGGCAGGACGGCGGGCAGCTCCCGGCGGCACAGCTCCCAGTCCCAGCCGCCCAGCTCCCGCAGGAGCGGCTCGGGGTCCGTCTGGGACATGCTGGGCTCGCTCCCCTCAGGACCGGGCGCGGCGGGAAAGTTCCCCCGCCATCCCAGGAGCCTCCGCGCGTCAGGAAGCGGAAGCGGCTCCACGTGGGAGAAGCGGAGGGGGATCCCGGGCGGCACCGGCACCGGCACCGGCACCGGCAGGGAGAACCGGTGGGTACGGGGGCTGCTGCCTCAGCCGGGCTCCGGGGAGGGGCAGGGGGATTCTGCACTGTGGGTTTTACCGGAGTTACCAGCTGTGCTCATTCTGTGATTCTGTCATTTCCTTGCCTGTATTTGTATTGTGTGACAGATGTGGTCCCCGTAACGCTGCCTTTTCTCAAATTTAAATGGTTAGAGGGTGGGGTTTTTTTAATCACAGAATTATTGTCCAACCCTCCTCCTGCCAAGGCAGGGTCACCTGGAGCAGAGGACACAAGAACGTGTTCAGGGCGTTTGGGAACGTCTCCAGAGAGGGAGATTCCACTACCTCCCTGGGCAGCCTTTTAATGAAAATCAGGATGCTAGGAATTAGACTGTTTGTACTGATATTGATGATATGTAAAACTATTTACTCTATTTCCAGCAGTAATTCACCCGGCTGTTGGCAAAACATCTGATTCTACCTGTGAAGTACAAAGTACTCTTTCCCACAGCAGTACCGACATAAAAGTATCCTCTACAAAAAACAAAAGCCAGAAGAGAAAAGGAAGACCACCTTTGTATCAGCCTTGCTCTTAAATGAGTGTTTCTGGCTGTAATAAATTAAGCTGACATTTTTAAACTATTACTCCCCAAAATGGATTTTCGATTTAATTTTGCTATCGATGAAAATGAGAACAGTGAAGCAGACACTCACTACTTACTGCTGGGCTCTCCAAAACACAAGCAGGACCCCACGGAACAGAGCAGGAAAACTGCTGATGCTGGAGCAGACTCCAGCCCCAGGCCAGGTGCTGCAAAGCACCAGGATGAGGCACCAAAGACAAAGCACTGTGTGAAAGCTGCCAAGGAGCACATTATACCTGGAGATCTCAACAAAGTATTGGAAAACAAAGTAATGGAAACAGTACTGGACCTGTATCATGTAAAGGTGTCTGCACTGGAAATGACATGTTCGGGTGATGCCGACAGCGAAGGCATCGTGTCCAAAAGTGTCTCTTCTCACTCTGATCTTATCCCAGGAGTCTATGAGGGAGGACTGAAAATCTGGGAATGCACCTTTGATCTCATGGACTACTTTTCTGAGGCTGAAATACAGTTTACCAACAAGACTGTATTGGATCTTGGCTGCGGGGCTGGACTGCTGGGAATAGTTGCCTTAAAGTGTCAAGCTGAAAGAGTTCATTTTCAGGACTACAACAGCACAGTGATTGAGGAAATAACCTTGCCTAATGTGGTGGCCAACTGTGTAAATGAAAGCACTAGTGGAAAGGACAGAAAAGCCAGCAAACCTCTTGCCAAGAGGCCCAAGAAAGCAGAGGGCTCACCTGATGTGCTCACCAAATGCAGGTTTTTTTCTGGAGAGTGGTCTGAAGTCAGCCAGCTCCTGTTAAGCAGCAACAAACCCTTTTCAAAGTATGATATAATTCTCACATCTGAGACCATCTATAATCCTGATTATTACAGTGCTTTGCATGATACACTGGCTCAGCTCTTAGATAAAAATGGCCGTGTGTATTTGGCAAGCAAAGTGCATTATTTTGGGGTTGGTGGTGGTATCTACCTCTTTCAGAAATTCATTGAAGAGAGAAATGTGTTTAGAACCAGTATAATTAAAACCATTGATCAGGGACTTCAGCGATGCATTATGGAAATGGCCTTTAAAGATTCCAGTTAAAATTCAACCATTAGTTCTTTAAAAATAGCTTAAAAATGTTTTAATCCTCCTATCTCTCTGCCTTTTGCTCTGTTATTCTGGTTGACAAATTAAGGATGGTGGTTATTGAAATGTTTGACAAAATCTGTCTGACTAGAAGTAAAAGACTTCTCTGACACTGATTTTGCATAGAAAAATGGAGTTCTGCTGCTTTGCCACCAGAGGGGGATGTGATTGTATTTATCACTTGTGTTCTACCCTGCCAGTCATCTCAGAAATCCTGGTAATGTTTCCCTGTGTAAATGCTCACATGATTTACTCAAGCCTTTGAAAAAGTGTACCAGAGAATATTTACTACTGTGGGCTGTCAGTATTCACATTCAGATTTTGACATATCACTCTAAGAAAATTTCAGCAAGTAATTGCGAAAAGTGATGCTGTTTTAGAATTGAATAAAACAACTCTGTTTCAGAAGCTGACTTGAAAGTCCTGACACAAGAGAAGCTCCTTACAACAATCAACCAATAAGCCTATGAGTACAACACTGGGGGATGACAGAACTGAGCTTTAGGTGACAGCTGGGAAAGGAGACAAACTGCTGTGACAGCACAGTTTAACTACATTGCTGCCCTTTTTTTTAACTGCCCCATTTTCAAAACTTGCTGGGGTTCTACTGAACACCCAACACTTGTTTCATCTCTTCAGCAGTTTGGCAGGACAGAAACGTTCAGAAAAGCCTGTGTGCAAGGCACTCCTGTTTCCTAGGCTGAAGACAGTGATGGTGCTGAAGAAATTGCCTTACCAAAAATGCAAACAAACCCAAAGACATAACAAATCCTGATCCTGAGTGCTCAGTGTCACCAGCAATTAAAAAAAAAAAAGTCCATTGCATGTTTTATCTTAACGAAAAACAGACAAAAAGCCATTACACAGCTCTAACATGTAGATCAAGGCTACTGCTTCTCATCACGCACTGTTTTATTGGGAGTCCTTGCAGAAATATAAAAAAAAAAAAGAGACAGGAAAAAAGAGACAGTCAAGCAGTGCAGTAAACTGGATGCAGAGATACTCAGTGTAGGGGAGAAGAGACAACAGTGTGAGGGGATGGAAAAACTTATTACAGCAGTGACCTAAATCACTTTAATTGTTGCACAAAAGTTCCCATCACTGAAGACTGTGAACATCAGCCTCAAGATTCCTATTTTGACCCTGTTGCTATTAAGCCAAAGTGATAGAGGATTTCCTGTACTTTACAGAAGAACCTTAACTGCAGTTGTTTCAGACTATTTTAAAGTGGTCCTTTGGAAACTACTGACTCTGGCCTTTCAGAGGGTAGGAGAGGGAGGGAAAATGCAGTCAACTGTACCATGACTGTCACTGTGCTTTGGAATTTTTCTGCATTGACTCTGAAACTTATTGACACTGCTGACTACAGACTGAGGAACAAGAGTTTTAGCTTTGGCAGATCAAGAAATTACTGTGAAGAGCCTTTTTTTTTTTGTTAAAACAGGGAAGCTGGAAACAAACTGATTTACCATTTACTATTTTTCAAACCTCAGTTTTGACAAAGACAAATCATGGCTTGCACACAGGGACTGAATAGGTTGTTCTACATGTGCTAGGTCTGGTGCTGTGTCAGAGAACCAGACCTGAAATAATAAGAAATGTTGACCACTATGACAAAGAATATGGTTAAGAACAAGAATCTCAAGTATTTTTTGATGAATAAAGGAAGAAGGTACTTACAAGCTTCAACTACAGTGTTTCTTCTTGATAATATCCCATGATCAAACTTGCTGTCTTAGGTTTAAATACTACACTTTTACTCAGTATCTTGCTCAAACAACTCTGTGTTTGTGCAAACACAGCATCAGATGTTTAAGGACTGCAGCAGAAGACTGCTAGAGCCATAACCTCAGTGACTGCACACCTGCAAAACAGGTAACCCCACACAGTATCATTAAGTTCCTGTTTCGGAATTACAGATGGGAAATAATGAAGGATATTTTTCTCAGGTGAGATCAGCAAAATTAGCATTGGGATTTCTGTAATTCCAAATGAATTCTGGTCTTTAAATTCAGTAGATACATGCTGAGAAGAAGCAGGATTCAATACTTAGTTCTGTAGGCTGGTTGTTCTGTTGGTGTTTCATCATAAAGCATCAGCTTTTTTTCCCCTCACGTTTTGAACAAGCCATTACAATAAGAAATCCAGTCTAAATTAGGTCTTTCCCGTAAGTGTTGTGGAGAGAAAGATTAAAATCACTCATTAAATAGCTCAGGAAACTAAATTAAAAAGCTTGTTTATTTTAACAGGTACTATCCTTAGTTGATGATTTCCCTTTAAAGGCTATTTGCTGCTTTTGGGAAACGAGGCTATTTAAAAACCAGGTTTGTATACTGGCAATTAGTTATTTTACTAGAGCCTGGGGGTGGAGGGAAAAACCACATGAGAATGGAAGTGGGAAGTGCCCAATTTGCAAATTATTGACCTGTATGCTATTCTTGGTTAGGAGGCACACAGACATTTAATCATGTTCTGAAATCAGAATCTGAAGTCAAATCAAGCCTGCAGTCATTATGGCATTTGAAGTGGTGCAGCACCAGCTTCAGGAGATCCTGCTCCACGTGATTATTGGGATGGAGATACCTGGAACTCTTCTAATGAGGAATGGACTGAAAGGTTTGAGGGTAAGAACTGGAAATTCCTCTCTGCCCAACCAAAACAGAAAGGTGACATGAGATGGATAACTAGTGTAACAAGGCAGTAACAGCAGGATTTTATTTGTGATAGAAACTGGACCAAAGCCCCTCAAATTTCATAGTTTTTACTGTAAGTCACATGCACATTGGAAAGAAAAAGCTACTCTATACCACCAGATACTGGTGGATAAGTGCAGTAGGAACCACGGCAAAGAGAAGAACTAGAATTTATACACAAATACCTCTTGCAAGTCAACAATTAAACCATGAAATCCACAAAGGAATTAAAGGAAAACTGGCAGGAAACAAAAAAAAGTGAAATTTGTAGCAAGTCATTTCACAACAAATAAAGGGCAACATCCTGCCACAACGGGAAGCAGGTGAGTTAATTCACACACTGTTTAGGTGCATGACTATTCTCATGGGGAATAAAAGTGATACAGGGGAATCAGAAGGAAAGGAGCATTGGCAGAATCTGACATTGCCGTCAGTCTGTTATACAGAAGGATCTTACAGGAACACCAAAGATGCTGATCATGACTTTTATGGAACACAAATACTGCATTTTCAAAACCATGGAATAAATCAAAGGTTTAGATCATTGGTGAAGAACCATAACAGCCAACCCCACCCTCCACCCCAATTTTTGTAAACGTGGATATGATGAAAAGCCTAAAAAGTAATAGAAAACTAAAGGAAACTGAAAAAAAAACCTGTGGTCAAAAGAGCAGAGAACAGGTTTGGTCCTACAGTGTTTTAAGCTGATGGCAAAATCCTGATGTATCCTACAATTTATCAGTGAGACAGGACTGGATGAAAACAAACTGGAGGTCAGATGATGTGGAAGTGTTTAATTAGCACATCAAAAGGAGAGGAAAAAGGCTTAGAACTACATATTCTGCACAAAGGAATGAAAAACAAAGTATCTCTGGGGGTTACTGACAGTATTATAAATTACAGCAGAGTCCAGTTACTCCAGATTTATGCCTACATACATAGACACATTGAACTTTTATTTATAATCAAAGTACAGCTCACAGTTACCCACTTGGAACTGCTGATTGTGTTCACAGTTTATTTCTTGTCATCTGACCATGTAATTTCATAGTCTGTATAGACTTTCTTCAGTATCTCTACAGTTACTGAGTGATCTGCTTTCCCATAGCCCTGCAAGACAGAACAAATGCTTATTGGACATGTACAGTAAGTCTTCAGAACCATCCAGTTCTTGTCAAAATAATCCAGTTGTGATTTGATAATTTCAAGTTATTCACATACCAATCAAATGCAGGTTCTAAAAGAATTATTCTTGCATTATTATATTTTTTCTATTGTACTCCCCAACTCACCCACTCCCCTAATTCAAGTTCTAGAAAATAAATGAGATGGGATCAAGCAATCTGAAGTGAGAGGATGCATTTTTCACATAATTTCTCCTTTGGAAAACTTGTTTTAAAGTGTTCCAAACCCCTCAGCCACCATATTTACTGAATGTTCTTTTAAACCACAGAGATTGCACTGACCCACTTTAACATATGGGCACACAAACATCTGTTTTGGCTCAGCTGAAGGAAAAGGGAATAAGCCACCACATGTGCAAACATTTGAGTATTCTTCTAGCCGCTAAAGAAGCTGGTCTTCATGTTTTATTTATTTGCAATCTTTGCCTCAGCTCATAATGGCTTAGTTTTAAGTATCTGTGCTCTTATGCCACTGCAACTCCAAACTAAGGCAAGGTCAGATAACCCATGTGATTTTTAACCCTCATTTAAATCACTGCTCAGTGTTACTTCCACTGAAATTTAAAACAGTTGTGGTAGAATTTGCCTTTCCATTATTGTCTTACATGACTGAATGTGTTATCTTGATTTCTTATAACAGAACTGCATTTTTTCCCCTGTGAGAAAGCCTTTACTGCACAACAGTGCAATGTACTGATTAAAGCCTGTGATCTATGGGTTACTTTCTTTTTCCAGTAATATTTCATACAACACTTGAGCTATTTTTTTTCCAGTCTTCTAAGTTAAGACTGCATTATCACACAAAACATGTACTCTTATTCATCACTGACTCAGCCCCAAGAGGAACAGCTTAAATAAACTGCATTTAAATTGCACAGGTTAAAATTGATGTGTTGTAGAAGTCACACTTCTAAGAAATACCAAATAATGTAGTCATGCCAATTGTAAAGCAAGAGCTACAGATCACTCTTACATTGGTAAGCACTTTAAAGACCCCATCCAGCCTTGCAAACAGCAACACAACATCTATTTCAAAAGAAGTCAATGACTATTTCTCTGATTTCCATAAAGCACCAGGCTAGTTCTGTTTTAGAATCTGACAACTTCCAAGTCAAGAGAAGCATTAAAACAATGTAATTAATATATTAACTTCTGACCTATAACTGAGGTCATCTGGCCCTCCAGGTCTCTGCCTGACAGAAGCCCTCATGGCAATAAAACTCTGCTTTTACATCACGCTCCTCTGTAATCATCAAGGTACCAAAAGCAGACAAACAAGGTATTTTGCATAGACAACAAAGGCAAGAGTTGACCACTGCCTTTAACACCAGTTTGGCAGCTCAGTAATATAGATGTGAAGTCTCACCTAAAAACACAGTTGTGGTGAGGACTTAGAATAAGCATTGCCTTCCCACCCCACACAAGTCCTAAAGAGGTTTTTTTTCTTATGAATTCAGGTGGCAAGAGTCATCTTGGAACAAAAGCATCACTACCACTTGATACATTCAAGGCCCAACCTTCACTGCTCATCTAAGGTAAGCGAATTTGAAGTAACCATCACTTACTACAGAAAATTAAAGGAACTTAATAGAACTGTTTTCCTTCTTGTCTAATTTAAAAGCCTAGAATCTTCACTCACAGTTATTACTACAGAAGCAGCTATGCTTCATCACTTAGCAACACCAGAAGCATTTCCCTACATTAGAGAAATCCTCACCACTTATTGAGTCTTTCCTAAAGAAACTGAACATACAGGGAATTGTAAGAAGTAACTAAAATGCTATTTTTATTCCACAAACTGCATTAGTACATCTTCACCTGCTGAAACTTCACACCTAACGTGGATCTGCTCTTCTCACCCAACACACAGAATAACGGACATGATTTAGCTGGTCACTACCAACCAACATTTTTGTTGGCAAATAAAGATCACACAATCACTCGATCAGGTCCCTGTAGCTACAAATGGGTTATTCCTGCTCTAGCAGTAAGATGGAAAGACTGAATCAAGAGATGTCTACTTTCATTTTTGGTCTTGATTACGACTGAACCTAATGCTGACTAATAAGCAACTTTATTTTTTTGGTCTCCCACCCTAAAACTATTGTTTTTCTAATCTATCTCACAAGTGAGCGAGGCAGGTTTTCCAGTTAATATTTATACTGTGACAAAAATTGTCAAAAGCCACCATGCTATAAAAATCCCAGAACATCAGAGACAAAAAGATTTAAAGGAATATGTGACACACTTACTGTAGAGAGCCCAAATACCCTGATTTTCTTGTCCTTGCTATTGTGATCAATTTTCCCTCCTCCAAGGCACTTGCACTCATATCCCAGCTTTTCCATCTCAGGATTCACTTTTTCAAATATATGATCTGCACAAGAAGAACAGTGAGAGCCATTAGAATATGCACTAGGCATCAAGTACTGTATTTTCCACTCATTTTTCTCCACCTTTTGCCACCTACAAGAGGGGGATATTTCTCTTCACAGGTTAAGTTTCATTATTTTAGATTTTTACTTAGTGCATCTCGTTCTCCTAAAGCGGGTTTGAGAAAGGCACCTGACAGAGACATGGGCCCAGTTTTCATGTCACACGAGGGACGCAGAAAGAGGAAAATGGGCCCAGTTTTCATGTCACACGAGGGACGTAGACAGGGGGAAACAGGGGCTTCTGAGCTGCTCGGGACGGCGGCTCCCGCTCCGCCTCAGCCCCGCCGGGGACGGGGGCCCCGCTGCCCGCCCGCCCCTCCCGCCGCGGGCTGCCACGCACTGTGGAACTCGGCCGCCCCGGTGCCGCGGACGATGTCCCGCTGGTCCCCGCCGCCCGGGCGCTGCAGCCGCACCAGGATGTACTTGAAGGTGCCCTCGGGGTCGATCTCCACGTCCCGCACGGCCGCCATGGCGGGGCGGGGCTGCGGGCGGGGAGGGGCTGCGAGAGGCCCTCAGAGCGCCCAGCGAGCAAATAATGGAGCGGCGGCAGCTGGGAGGCAGCGAACCTACAGATCACTCTTGGCTTAGTCACCGCTTTGAGGACCTTTTTGTCCCAGGTTGCTCCAAGCCCTGTCCAACCCGGCCTTGAACATTCCAGGGATGGGGCAGCCACAGCTTTTCATATATAAAATTAGTAAATTATTGTTGACATGGATTTCTCCACCCATAATAGTTTTAAAATCTAAAACTAATACTTGAATGCAGACAGCATACTATATAAATTAAGGTGTAATTAATTAAAAGCATCGGTAAAACAGAGGAAGAGTATGCCTCATCTGAATACACATTTAGAGATACTATAAAGATAAATACAAATTTGGGGTTAGACCTTATTTTGAGACTTGATACTTTACAATTAGAGTTGTTTACTAAACTCCTGTATTGGTCAAAACAATCCCTAATAAAAATGTCCAGTATTTTGTTGTTTCAGAGACTGTTGTTAGTTACCTTGCCTGTGCACAGAGCAGCAGCACCGCTGAGAGGAAAACGAGCAGAGCCCCAGGAAGCTAAATCCTTGTTTGCTAAATTTTAGGGGATGAAGAGGTGTAAAGGGCTTAAAGTAGAAATCAACCCTCCCATCTCAGCTGTTTGGGATTTCCAGGGTAGACAGGGAAAGTGATAAAATCTGTGCCTGGGGGAGGTCCCCTTTAGGATCACACGTCTTAGAGAGCCTTATAGAGCTGGGGTGGCTGTTCAAGCTTGCTTTACCCAGTAGTAAATTAGGCTGTAGAATTAATCCTTCTAGTTTTTTTCAAGTAACCTAGGAGGTCTATTTTTGTTTGGATTGTTTCTGTGTACACAGCTTATTCCTCCATTATTTTGTTTGCCAGTCTTGCCTGATATCTCATGTTCCTATTTATCTTTTATTAAGAAAGCATTACGAAGGTTGCTTGTTTGAATAACTCTGCCTCTTTATTTTTAACTGGAATAGAATGTTTCATTTCCTCAAGCTTAGAAGTCTTTTGCGTGGCTGTGGAAAGCTTTATTGCCCTGTTTCAGTTATGAGGCACGGAAGGGGCTAGCAACAAACAACAATGGTAAGGATGGCAAAGGAAATACTTGTGGCATACCTTAGACAGAAGCTAAATTTGAAAGGAATTTGCCCTTAACAAGGAGAACAGGCATTGGGCTTCACCTGACATGAGTTTGAGTAAATAAGCTGGTGACTTAACAATAGTCAAAGCAGAGCTTTGTCCTGTTTCCTTTAATGCTTTAATCTTCCCAAGTGTCCACCTTACCCAAAAGTAGTTTCCCATTCCACACTGAGGTATAGGAGTTTCCTGTTAGCTTTTAGGTGAAAATTCCCTGCGGTTAGTGGGAATTGTTAGTGCGAGTGCGTCACTGTGGGCCTCGAGGGTACAAAGAGGATGGTGTGGGGCAACAGGGGTCTTAAACCAGAGACAGCCTGTTTCCAACAAAGCTGCATGGAGGGACTTTCCTTTTGTCTTGGACTTACTCATACTAACTGTGAGTTTGGCACTATTTTCTGAAAAATTAAGGGGGTTTTTATTTATTTGGCCAAGAGACATCTTGTCTTTTAACAGTGGCGTCCTAAACCCCATTGTTCTGAGTAAAAGTATTGTAAACAAGCTGGGTAACAGTGAACTGATGTGATGATAAGATAAGATAAGATAGTGGATATTTTTCTTGAATAGTTGTAGGCAAATCATAAGGGTCAGCATGGCCAGTATTTTTTACTTCTTCTCTGTTACAAATAGAGCTTGTTTGGCATTATGGTTTGCAGGTTTTGGACTGGCCCAAGTGACTAAAATTTCTCTGTTTATGTCCTTCCTATCCGATTGTTTTAATTCATATGACCTTGGAAAAGTCACCTCTCTTTACGCTGGTTTGGGTCGCAACAATATTGCAACGTGTGTTGCAGTGGATTAAACTGTTGGTGTAACAAAACACGTTGTCAGGCTGATTTTGGTTTGTGTCAGCCAAGATAGTGGTTGAGCTAGCATATCTGAACATGGTCAAACTTCTCTACATATTCCAGGAATTGGAAAGATAAAAAAGAAGCAGCAAAACCTGTGGTTCGTGTGGCATGGTCTGATAACTGGGTGTAACTATTGTAGGTACTCCAGTTCATTGTTGTCAAGGTACGTGATGTCCTGGTACCTACTGTAAGTACTTCCTGAGCGTCTCGAGAAGGATAAAGCAGGTTATAGCCTTGTGTTCTCCACTGTACCCCTTATGAGAGGGTGACCATGCTCTTTGTGTTTAATGATTTCTCTTGATAATGTTAATGAATGTTAACTTAGCTACTGCGACGTTACCATGTTCATACAGGTGTGATGAAAATAGGTGGAGGACTGAGACGCTGGGAGTGCCTGCTGAGAGAATGTTTTCTTGAGTATTGGGTGAAATTATTTGGGTGATGGAAACTGCTTAGGGGGACGAAGACATTCTTGTCACACTTGACTGCATTTCTGCTGGGCTTTGTGGTGGCGTTAAGGCTGTGATGTTTGTATTGCTTTTAAAGGAACTTTACGGAAACAACTTTAGGGAAAAGTCAGTTATGCAGTAACTGATGGTTATAAAGAAAACACACACTGGCTTCCATTCTGAGTAACCCAGGAACAGAAAAGATCCCTGCAAAAGCCTGAATTGAAAGCCCAGATGGGGTAGTCCTTATGATGGCATATGAGACTCTCTGATCTGTAGTTAAAAGCTAATTTAGCCTTGAGTGGAATTATCAAGAAATTATAATTGATTATTGCCAGCTCTCACTTATTTTATTAATTTGCATTGAAATGAAGGATGGGGAAGAGAAGGTGAGGCTGTTCTGCTGCTGCATATGGAGATATCAAAGCCAGTTGTAATTGGGCAAGTTCAGGTCGCAGAAGTCACCTTCAGAGTTCAGATCTGATGGGCTTATCCTGCCAAAATGCAGGATCAGTTTACTGTGTGGGTCTCAGATCTGCTATTTCTTGTTTGCTTTCAGTGCCCAGACACTACACCAGTGAATTTGTAGGACATCTTAAAAGAAACAAGCTGGATTGCAGTTCAAGGTCAAATGTAACATTTCATTTGAGAATAGGCAAATAGGAGTACCCTAATGTCAAAAAATCCTGATATTTATTTTGATATTTAACCTCCGAATGGCAAGTGACTAGAAAAAGAATATTACTGTGCACATGTGTTAAATATATGTAGTGCTGCAGTGAAGTTTAACACGAGATTCTCTAAAGCCATTCGGCCAATCCAGATTCCCAGAGTCAGGAAAAGGGAAGCAATCACACTGAACTAAAGCTGTATAAATTTTTCCCTTTATTAAGCTCCTTGACAGCAGTGCACAAGACGTAGGGATATATTTGGCTCCTGGTTGTATTACAGGAAAATATTAAGGAAAGAATTTTGAAGTAGGGGATTTCCATCACATGTAACACTCACACGACAGAGAAAATAAAATGAGGGTCAACGTTCAGCTGTACTTTGCAAATTTTTTTTTATCCCACAGTGGGATTACACCCTGGAGTGGAGCAGAAGAATGCCTAATACATTGGTGCAAGTGAAACACACTGTTGTAAGTTGTAATTATCATGGACATCAAAGACCACAGGTCTGCTTTCCTGCTTGGGTCACACAATTTAATAGGATTTGAATAAAGATTTTTCTTCAACAGCTGTTGATTAGCAGCTCCTCAGATTAGTGAAGAAGCTGGAACAAATGCAGGATAATAACATTATCTGCCTTAGTATTACCATCTTTGGGATCTGTGTATGTATATAGCCAGTCCAGGAGCCAGAGGCTTGGCTTCTGCACTGAAGGTTAGGAATCCAAGCCAACCTCCGGCATGCTGGAGCATGAAGAGCCTCTTCTGGGCCTCTCATGCCTTGCTTTGATGAATAATGCTCTCCTAGGATCCCTTTCAGAACCTGAACAAGATCTGATGAAAAACAAGTCTTTTGTTCTGCTCCTCATAGAAGGCAGTTTTACAACCTCATTGCTCTGCTGGTTGGAAACATCCCCTAATTTTTGGTCTGTATTTACAGATGGTTTGTATCCCTTTGGGATTTTTTGTACTAACCTTATGCCTTTATATACAGAAAACTTGTTTACTTTTCTGAGCCTGTTGCATCCTTTCTGAGCCTTCCTAGCTGCTCCCTCTTCCCTAGGTTTAAACACTAATTTCTAACGGACACCTGGAAAAGCATTTCTCCAGAGGGGACTTCTTGGAATATCACCACCCTTTGAAAAGCCTGGAGTTTGCTACCGGGAGGTGTCATTCTTCTGGTTCTCCTTCCAGATAACCATGAATATCACCTGCCTGTCACAGGATTGTCAGTCTTTGAAGTACTGAAGGAGTGTTCCTGCCTTGAATCCCCCTGTTCAGTGAAACCAGCCCACTGGGTTTGTTTCCAAGACTCTGCTGTCCTTTGGTTGTCCTTCCCTGCTCTCCGTGTCCGTGCCTGGCACCATATGTTGGGGGCATGATGGAAGCCGTGTGCAGGTGATGATTCCTGAGTCCCAGCTGTTACCCTGTGGTCTGCAGAGACAAACAGTGTGAATGAGTTGTTTAATTGATCAGAGTTCATTTGTGTGGGATTTGTGGCATCCTGAATAGAAGGGCCTCGCAGCTGCTTTTCTGCAAGTTAAACTCACGTGTTTGCACTCATGGATTAGAGGTATGAGGGTAGTTTGGACGGTGGTTTTAGGGCTGGAGGTGCTCAGCCTGGAGGGAAGCCACGTTCTTCCTTTGTTGGGACTGCAATTCCTAGGAAAAAACGTCATAATGAAGGAATATGGAATGTAATGGTGTGAAGACTCACCTGCAGAATTCTGGACATAAACTGAAGTTATGTCCTTTGACTTAACCTTTAAATAAATCTTTGTCTTTGACTGTAGAAGGTATAGAGCAACATCACCACTACTTTACTTATCTTTAAGTAAGCATAATCTGGATCTTTCATTTTATTTTGGCAGTAG